ACACACACACACACACACACACCTGGAGCAGTGGGCAGCCATTTTTTGCTGCGGCACCCGGGGAGCAGTGCCTTGCTCAAGGGCACCTCAGTCGTGGTATTGAAGGTGGGAGAGAGCACTGTACATTCACTCCCCCCACCTACAATCCCTGCCGGTACGAGACTCGAACCCACAACCTTTGGGTCATGAGTCCTGACTCTCTAACCATTAGGTCACGACTTCCCCCTTTATGTTAGAACACCTCACAAACACACAGCTTTTCACTTTACATAAGGTTTGGAAGGGAGTAATGTGGATTATTTATGGATTATTGTGATGTTTTTATCAGCCAATTGGATGCTCATTCTGACGGCGCCCATTCACTGCAAGAGCATCCATTGGTGAGCATGAATTGTTCACAATAAGATAAGTATAATGCATTTAGAAAACAGATTTTTAAGAATTGGATCTCCTCCAGTTTTCTTACTTTACTAGAATTAAAGTATGTATGTATGTTTATTCTGCTCAGATGGGTCTGAGCCCATTGTTCAAAGTGAGTGAGGAGGGAGATGGAGTGACCCGGGTAAGAGCTCATCGACAGGCACACAGTGCAGTCACGCAGTATCGGGTTCTGGACAGCACCAGTGGCTGCAGCTTGGTGGAACTGCAGCCTGTCACAGGTATTGACTGACCATGACATGTGAAAACCGTACCTGACTCCTAACTGTGCCCTATATTTGCTAATTATTGTAAATGTTGCTAGGTTTACCCATATATATAATGTAACATCGTGTTTTGATTTATGTAAAAGAAGACATTTAAGCATGATGACCAGAACCAATGTGTGTTTTAGGTGTGAAAAACCAACTTCGCGTGCACATGGCTCTTGCTTTGACCTGCCCCATTCTTGGAGACCACAAATATGCTCACTGGAACAAACTAGCACCACAGGTATAATAAATACAAGTGTTGTAGCATTGGTTCCTTGAAATATGAAACTATGCTGCCATTCAAAAGATTTTTTTAATGTTTTCGAAAGAAGTCTCTTATTCTCACCAAGGCTGCATTATTTGATCAAAAAAAAAAAAAAAAAACTTAACCCAAGATTCAGATACTCAACCTATTCAAGTCTAGGTCCAGTTTTACTACAGTATTTGTTTAGCCTATGAACATAGTAAGTGTTGTGTTGATAATGAATAATCAAGAGGTGGTGTAGTGTTTTCTTGAGACATGACTCAATGTCACGTTTGAAGACTGACCACACGCGGGTCTCACATTTCGGATTACAGAAGCTGCCAGAGGGCATACTGCGACGGCTGGGCCTGGTGCAGAGTAAAACACGATACCTCCCTCTTCACCTGCACTCCCGAAGGATCGTCCTGCCAGGGGTCAAAGGTCACAGTGGCATCACCGTGTCCTCTCCCCTTCCTAAATACTTCACCAACACCTTAAAGAGACTACAGATCCCACTACCGGGAAAAGAATGAGATGGATCACAGCTAGCAACGCCATTTGAAAAAGTATTACATTTGTATTGAGAGGATGAAGTGGGGTGGATTTGACTCTGACTGTAGAAAAGGTCATGTACAAAGCGGGCATTACATTGTGTATTCTGAATGTTTTTTGTCCAGACTTTGTAATAAAAGACCATTGAAAGCGTTTTACGAAGAAAAATTATATCTTTGCTTCACCTGTGAATTACGTAATGACAATTTAATAATTGTGCAATTTAGGGATCCACAATATACATGTACCATATAATTTATCAGCCAACATTAGATTTTTTAAATAATCATTACTGGTTGATGTTACACATTTGCCCTATTTTTACATATCACCATCTTCTAAAACAAATTTTGAATATCCTGTTTTCATACTTTTTATATCACCATCTTCTAAAAAATTTTTTGAATATCCTGTTTTCATACTTTTTATTATAATGTTGAGATGCCTAAATTCACATATAGCATCTAAAGCAGTGGTAATCTCAACAATAAAAGGCTCAATGACCTTTCCAGTTGTCTGTGATTTTCTGCATAAAGATTAAGGATAAGAATTAAATTTGTTCAACCATTTCTAACTGATAAAAACAGGTCTAGAAATAGTACTTTAAAAAATCTGGCTACAGGGTTTTAGATAGTGGGAATCCAGAACTGTTTTTGAGGGGACAAATTAAAATATATATATTTTAGTGATTTAATGCATATTTTGTCTTTTTAAATTAATCACTTGGAGGTTTGCTGGTTGATAACCTTCATTTATTTTTTTAATTTAGGGAAAAAAATTAGTATAGCATTTTAATAACATGAAAATTCTCATTGGCTAAAATTTTAATAACAGCATATCCCTTGTGCAAATTCTTTACTAAATAATTGTGTGAATTGTTGCATTCAATTCAATAATGCATGTAATAATAGTTTTGTGAACTACTTATGCAGAAATTTATTCTGTTTCCGTCATGAGGCCCACTTGTGCTTGTGTGACAGAACTGACCAGGGACTGCAAAAAGGGTCAAAGACGACACATACAGGTACTTCACTGTACAAAAAGGCATGTTTGAAAACACAGGCTTCAATTCTCCAGCACCACTATCACATTAATACATATCAGGTTACCATAGATGCGTGTATGTATATATATATATATATATAAAAAAAATAAAAACAGAACTAAAGTGTCTTCATGTATAATACACTCCTCAGGTACGTGAACTCTGCTACTGCAAGCTCCAGGGGGTGAGCAGGGGTTGTGTTAAATGTTAAGGATGGATGAAGCCATGTTTTTAAATGTGTTTACACCTGACCATCACATGGTGTTCCAGTCCACTGCCAATAATCACTTAAGTTTAGTTTGCAATCTTAAAAACCACCAGATCCTTACAGTTCTGCACTTAAAGAAAATAAACAGAGAGGACAGTGGGAAGAAGGATGGCGCGTAACATACATGGCAGAGAGAGAAAATGCACACATCAAGGGATCTGGGCAAATACGTTTCAATGGTCATTAGAGGAACAAACAGAAATAGTTCCTGAATCTAAAACAAAAAAAGGCTTATGTATGTCCAGTTCACTGAAAACCCCTCTTGAACCTCTTCACTCTCCTTTAAATCATGGGTGAAATATAAGGAGAGACTGCAGAGGCTATTTGATTCAGTCTCTTGAGAAAGGAGAGGATGATGGCATGATGAGTGCTGGAGAAAGCCTCTCTCTTATTCCATCTTGCTTTCTTTTGCTTGCCCTCGTCTTTTCTCAGTGTACGTTGGCCTGCGCGATGGAGATTATCTCCTGGATTTCCCGCACCATCATGATGCGAGTTAGCATGTGCTCCAGCTGCTCACTCGTGATTGGCTGAGTGGAGTACCAAATAGGGCTGTTGGGAGCCACAACAGGCTCTGGCGTCAGGTAATAGGTGTCATTACGACCCTTTGCAGTCTGAGGGCTGAGGACAGACAAAAAAAAAAATGAGGAAAATACAGAAAAGGTCAGTTTTATTTATTAAAAAAAAAAATTTAAATTGCGCCAGCTATTGCATTAGCCTATGATAAAATCAGTGGCTCACCATTTGAAGAGGTAAAAGTCATAGAGCTTGATAGGACAACGCAGTGGGTTCTCTGGGTCCTCTGCCTGCTCTGCGTACATGTCATCTGTCACTAGAACAATAATAGATGTGATTTATGACTTCCCAGTTTTTGACCAATGAACTTATGACTTTCTATAACTTTTCAATTCATTTGTTAATGGCAAAAATCACAATTATAGAACAAACACACAACAACAACAACAACGATTTCTGACTATTATTATTCACTGTAGAAGTTTCCATGGCCAGGACTAGAAAAAATTTTTTGTTTCACAAATAGTTTGAATTTAGTGTCTCATTTAGTAGAAATAGTCAAATTTCCAGTATTACATCCGGTTACTCTAGATATAGCTATTGCATTGGCTGAAATCCCAAATTGGTTGGTCACTGATAACTGTATAACTTTGGAAAGGTTTCAACATCAAGCAGCTCAACATTTTTCAACACTGATAATAATTGTTATTACTGAAGGATCATGGGACACTGAAAATTGGAATAATGGCCGCTGAAAATTAATAATAAATTACTTTTTAATGTATATCAAAAAAGAAAACGGTTATCTTAAATGGATAATAATATTTAAAATTATTGCCATTTTTACTTTTTTTTTATATATATATATATATATAAATGCGGCTTTGGAGAGCAACAATAAAATTATACTGACCCCAGACTTTTGAAAGGTTTATATTTATCTTGTAACATTTGAAAACATCCAGCCTTATTTTGTGGCTGCCTCCTAACCTTTCTGTCCAACATGGTGTGGCCCGACTCCTTTCAGGTAGCGGATGCTGGTGCTCTTGTCTTTAGGGTTGCTGGGATTCTTTTTGGTGTGTCTGAGCACTTTGGAGAAGGCCACTTTCATATGCTGCTCCACTGTGGTCAAGTGGAAAAACCTGTGCAGAGAGACAACACTATAACCCCTGAGCACTCACTGCCATCATTTTTGAAGAGAAGGAGACTCACTTGGTGTTGAAGTACATCAGTGTAGTAAGGAGAGTGGATGGAGAATGAGCTCCCAGCTGCTTACACTCCCACAGCATCTCCTCTGTCACATGACTTGGGATAATGTAGCCTGGCAAATACAAAGGCAATTAACATACATTTTCCAAAACTCAAAAGGACATAATTTAAAAGCACACACAAACATCTTACCAAGAGGGTGAATACTGGGCCTCCACTCTTCAAGAATTTTGTGTAAACACTGACAAAACCGGCTGTAGTACTGATCAGAGAAGATGTCGTCTACTCTGCCGTTCTCAAACATGTACTGTACAAAACAAAAAAGAGAAGGAAATCAGCTTATGCAAACTAATGATCCAACATAATCAGCAGAAACAAAAATATGAAGACATACTTTCTGTATACATAAAAATACATAGTATAGTGAATCAGGTTCAAATGGCTCCCCCTCCAGCCCACAAGCCTCTTGGGTCATCAAAGACAGAGCCAAGTTCAGCTCGCCCACTGAACTTGACACAAGATCATCCTGGAAGCGCAGGGGCTGTCGACCTGCAGACACAGACATTCATTTTGCTGCAAATAAACATCACTAGATGCTTCACAGTAACAGTTCACAATTTTGACCATGCATTATATATGGTTAAGGGACCTTTTAAGACCTAAATAAAATGAAAAATTTAAGCAATTTTGCCAAATAAATAAATAAAACATATACACTACTGTTAGAAAGTTTTGGGGTGGGAAGTTTTGTGTTTTTGAAATAAGTCTCCTTTTCTCCCCAAAGGTTGCATTCATTTGATTATTAATTTCTTAAACTTTTTTTAAAAAACTGACCACAAATATTTGAGAAAAAAAAAAAAAAAACATGTTTTCTACTTACAGTTTTTAGCTGAATAAATACATGAATTGCATTTTTCGTTTGTACATGTGGCAAACATCATAAGCCTACTCTTTCTATACTATTCAAGATATTTAAAAAAAAAAACTGTACTATTGTTGAACTATTGATAACAATTATTTAGTACCAACTACTGACCCAATTCTGTATCCAAGTGCTGATTGGTAGCTGCTTTAATGCTTACATGCGTGTGTGCACACGATTACGAGATGCATTAAGGCATTTAATTTCCAGTGATATTGTTGACTTGATTGCACAGATACTATTAAACTGAACTGAGCTGGATGATGACATCCCTGAATTCAATGATGAACTGCCTTTAACTGAAAATTGAGTGTTTACTATTGTCATTTTGCATTATCGACACACTATTTTTCTAATTAATGCTGTACAGTTGCTTTGACAATCTGTGTTGTTAAAAGCGCTATATAAATAAAGGTGGCTTGACTTGACTATTGCTTTTGTTTATAGCGACATGTTAAAGTGGATCTATTATGCAAAATTCACTTTTGTATTGTTTTTAAACAATTATGCGTCAGCAATGCGTGTACACAACCACCCTATTGTGATAAAAAAATAGTGAGTTTATGTAATTTTGACAACCTAAAGATGTGAAATAAGACGTGAAAGGGGACTCCCGCGACATGCCATCTGACAGCCAGCTTTCTGTGCAAGTGTGCTCAGAAAACCATATATCAGAAGTTTAAACTTATATGACTTTAAAACGCATGCAAATAATACATTTATATGAAGTCAAAGAACATAAACATAATAGATATGATAATCATGACCAAACATATGTTTTGTATTGGCAGAGTATGCGAGGCAGGAGCTGTAAAGGCACAGCCTGTAAATGCGGTGAGCAGCAGCTCATTTGCATTTAAAGATACATACACAAAAAGAGCATGTTTTTGCTTCCTGTTAAAAATTGTCTTTTTCAGCATGGAATGATAAATGATCTGTAGGGTATTTTGTGCTAAAACTTCAAAGACATATTGGACATCTTGGGACATCTGAGACTTTACATCTCGTGAAAGGGGCACAATAGGTCCTCTTTAAAAATTGCATTAAATCACTGCATGTGTTCCAAAGCTGTGGTATCAAATATGGAATCAAGAATCATAAAATGTCACTCATATTGCTATTGCCTACTGAAATTAAAATCTAGTAACCGCCGCTAAATTCAGCGGCGGTATAAAGACAGAGGTAGCGATGAAAATATTAACTCACGTCCTATCGGTGCCAGCTTATTTTGTTCATTCTTGTCCAGCTCAGCATTTTTGCGCTGAACCCACAGCCTCCACACATCCAGCCCTTCCTCAGGCTTCAGCGTGTTGGGGAGGACCAACTCTGGAGGAGGTTCTACCTGTGGTTCTG